AAAAAAAAATCAAACTACCCAAGAAGCCATGGATACGAGGGGCATTACAAATCATCAGACATAAAAATAAACTATACGAGAAAGTGATTAAGAGTAATTACAATCCAAATCGAATGTCTGTTTACAAAACCTACAGAAATACTTTAACAACTATTCTTAGAAAATCTAAAAAAAATATTACTCCAATTTAATTAATCTAAATAAAAACAACCAGACTAAACTCTGGAAAATGATAAATGATTTAACAGGAAGGGCCAAAGGAAATCGTGGTAGACTGCCTAAACTACTTACCATAGACAACCCGCTTTCTCAAACCATGAATATTCATGACCCAATAAAATAATTAACTATTTTAATAGATTTTTTGCTAATATTGGGGAGGAACTTGCTATGAATATTAACACATCTGCCGATCCCTTGGACTACCTCACAACTACCAATTTGAATTCCTTTTTTCTCCAACCTGTTACCATCCATGAAATAGAATCTGATCTAAAATTATTAGACCCGCGTAAATCTTGTGGCCATGACTATAATTATTCCCGTCTTCTAAGAGATGCTGCCCCTTTCATTAAAATACCTTTGTCACATTATAAATCAATCCTTTATGTCTGGTGTGTTCCCCGACCAACTAAAAATAGCCAAAATTAATCCTATTTGCCTGGTAATTACAGACCCATCTCAATCTTACCCGTTATCAGTAAAATTATTGAAAAAACTCTGCACAAACACTTATCAAACAATTAATATTGTGACATAAATTGTAAGTGAAAAGTACAGAGCCCTGGCTGTGTGAAATAAAAGCGCACATGTTTGGATACTTTGCAACAACCCATTGCACATGTTTATTTTTAAGACCGCTGATACAGTCACTAGATTGTGTTGTCAGCAGAATTTGAGATACATACATCCTGTCTCTCCCTGTGGCATAATGGTATGGCTCAGACAGTGACATGGTGATTGTGAAATACCTTGGAATGTGCTGAACCCAGTGTTGTTGGCAATGAAAATATATATGACATCATTGACCCGAGTCTCCTACTTTAAATTGGTAGAGTTTGGATTAAGAGTGGTTTATTCCACTACCAAAATTGGCATCCTCTGTACACTGATTTGTCGGCTATTTCGAGATAACCAATCATTTCGTTATATACATTTT